AGGTCGACTTAACTTTTCTATGAGCCGTATTTTTGGACTATTGTGTTATGTTAATTAACATGCTCGTAAATTCTAATCTACACGATGAATTTGCTCTAAATTTAGTCAACATTGACTGCAATATATAGGCAACGAGATGGCAAAATTTCATTTTCATGGAATCATTTTAAAGCTTTTAAACATTAATCCGCATCGAGAATTGTACGGGACGGCGATTCTCTTTAGCCCTTGTTTATTTGATTTTTCATTGGAATTGTCCATTTTTATCGCATTCACGTAAATTATTTTAAAAAACTTTCAACGAAATCTTCTATTTTCCGACTTATGTTTACTATTTTCCTTCAGATCCATTAAAATGCGTTCTAACAACGAGTTATTATCATTCGTTTATTTCAACGTTTGATGTATACTAGTCAAGTTTTGAAATGTCTGATGTATATAAAGGAAAAGAGTTGATTTATCTCACTGAATGCCCCAACACAAAGCTCCACTATATCTTGGAGCAACGGGAAAGCGGCAATGAAGTAGTTTTCTGGTTAAGAGTAAAAAAATATTTCGCAACCAGCCGCCACTTTGAATTCCGGTAGAATTCCTTAGATTATGCTAATTACTTCGAGCACATGAACCAATCAGGTATACGCTCAGACAATACGAGGATTGCACGTGATTTGACTGAAAAATAAGCATCTCCCACTATGATTCTAGTTTTCTTACGGAAGCCGTCTCATAAAGCGGCGAAGGAGATTTATCCTCTCCTTACTCTAAAGCGTCGTTTTGACGATTCACCTTCTATACTTCTTTCCAAAATCAATTAATTTTCCCTACATCATGGACTTAGTAGAAGGAATGCACGAGATAATTGAGATGATCGTCTGCATTTTATACTTGATTTACGTGAACTGTTTAGAGGCTGATAGTATGCCGAGAGATGAGAGGCCTGCACGGAGAAAGCAACCCGTGGAAAACGATGAGGAGAAAAACTAATGCAAAGGTACAAGAAACTCCAAACAACAGTGTATGATAACAGCACAATATCTCGATTGTTTTATTCTTCAATAGTTCCTTTAAAAAAACAAAATTTTATAAGGAATTTATTTATTAAGAAGTCCGTAACCAATCTTTTTACCACACGCTGTAATAATTAGGCTAATCTTAAAGAGAGAACGCGACGAATTCTAACCAATTTGACTAACAACTATAACGGGGAGGGTTTTCCTTATAATTTTTATTAACTGGTTTTTCTGAGCCTTAAAGTTTTTAGAAATATATGTTTTGGTCATCAAATCTTTTAATTCAGTTTTGTTTCATATTTAATGTCGAATTATTAGAATTGTTCAACATATTATTTGATTTTCTTTGGATAGAAAAACATAGACAGTTCCCTACCCCGATCAGGCTTCCAGCGCTGTAAGCTAAAGGTCACGATTTTTTGCAGAAAGAACGCATGATAAATAACTTCCAACGGCATATTTCCTTCAGATCGATAATGCATTCTAAAAACGAGTGATTATCATTGTTATCATTCGTTTATTTCCACGTTTGATGTATACTAGTCAAGAGAATATTCTCTTAGTACTAGTTCAACAGAATATTGCGGATATAGTTATATAGGCAACATTCTTCCATTGGACAGTTTTATTATCACGCACCAAATAGTATGGCGATAGGGCCTTTTCAGTACGTCGTTATATGTTGTGGAACAATCTGAACCACTGTGAAAGGAAAATAATTTGGAACATTTTAAAAAGAACCTTAAGACTCATATATTTTCAACACTTTATAATATGTATTTATAATTTATGCTAATAAATATATCTATATTCACATTTTTTACACATATTCATATAATTATATATTTCATAAATACTGTACTAAGCGCCATTGAACTTTGGGATTTTGGCGCTATATAAATTGTTTATTATTAATATTCTTATTAATTTATTATCATCATCATCATCACTATCATCATTAT